GCACGTCCAAGGCTGCCGCAAAGATCTTCCTCCCTTTCATCGTGTTCCCGACCTACTGGAACCTCACACGCCTCATGTTTCCTCTTCTCTCTTTCGTGTCTCGCTAGCCAGCTTTGGCCCGGGACACCCAGCATCCGTAGGCAGGGCAAGTCTGTGTGGAAGACAATTGACGATTGAGGCTCTCGGCCCTCGGCCTCTTACATGGTGGCTTCGAGAAAAATATATGTGACTATCAAGGCCGTTTGCTCTGTAATCTACAATGATGTCAGGTGCAGGAGCATGCTGCGTTGAGAGGTTAATTTGTTCGACCCCAAGAATCCTCTTTATGTGTATGATTGGTTCCACTTCGAAATTGCAGTATGTGTGTGTAAGAGAGTGGCGCATATTTCGTCCTCGACGTAGAGCTGCGCTGCACATTCGACCATGAAGTTGTTACACTGTGATATGACTTGCCGCTTGGTTAGATTTTGTGACAGGTTGTTATCCATCAACACACTGAAGTCACGAGTCTCTCACATTTTCCTCACTCGTTTCTCTCCAAATTGTCAGATCATCGGACCCTCCAAGGCAAGGGAGGTTGTCAAACCCTTTTGTCGGTAGCTTGACAAAAGATATCCGATTGCCACTCCGAATTAGGCATGTCGTCTTAATGGCTCGCCAAAGAGCTACAATGTGCTGTAACCCTACAGCTTTTCAGCCGGTTCTAGACACGAACCGTTCAAGCAATCGTTATCAGGATAATTCTAGTAATTTTGTGGACCACCATGCGTGGCCCAAGCCTGCCTCGATATGAATGATATGATGGCGTTTGACCCATGAAAAGCGTTTTTAAAGTTATATCGCTTACACAACTGAAGTCGTGCTACCCTCGCCGGACCGACTTGATCTGATATAGTTGTCTTGGGGCTCCTGGACCACGACAAACTTGTCATTGCTTTTTTGATCCAAGACCGAAACAGTACAGGCCGCAGCTGAAAACTGCATCACCAATTCTCCACTTTGTTGATAGGGGTTGTTCAAAGGAATGGTAACCGAACCACCAGAGCAGAGTTGCAGATCTAATCTTGAACTCTCTGAGATTGTTGGGTGTTGCCAATTTCAATCACTTTGCATACCTGGACCTGCCAGGGTTTCATAGCCAATCAGAAGAGGTAGAGGCACACATCGCTTGCATATTCTTCAGCTATAACCAGGTGGCCAAGCTCTGCCATCGTTGTTATTCCGCTAGGTCGGGAATCACTTCGAGGCTTAGAACTTGCACCCCTCTGTCTTCAGTCTATGGTTGGAACCGAGCTTGGGCAAGTTGAGCAGTCATATAGAAGAGCTGCTGTATCAAAAGGGGTTGTCTTGGAATCGTTAGCATTACTGGTTACTTCGCATGTCCAGTCAGCAGGAATACAATCGACTAATGCCAAGCGCAGCATGTAGCCTCATCCTCGTGGGGTCTGTAGCTGTAGTTAAGGGAGCTGAGCCAGACCCACAAAGAATTCTTTATCAAACCCGTAGCAATTGGAAAGTATGCGACGTCTGTTGTCCGCATATCATCTAACAATGTCGTGATCCCAGGAGCTATCACAGCGTTGCACTTTGTTGGTCGACTGTTCATCTGCATCGCTACAATGCCAGGCCCGGCACGAGTCATGCCGAGTAAGAGTGTTGGCATCCACTGCATGCCATATGTGGGGTTCTTTGTGTCTTTCCATGGGCCGGGCCCTGGGCCTCTATGAAGGGTGCCATCGCCTTGTTTGCTTTTCATGACCTTTGGTGGAGTGCATGCTGCTGTCACTCAAATGTCTGTGTTGTCACCATCTACCTGTGACATTGGTGGACTTTGGTCTTCTGGGTAGGTATTTGCTGTAGATGAGAAGTGATGGCCGATGGTACAGTTCGATAGTGCAGTAACGGTGGCCGAGATGCTGGCCCGAGCCGTCTGGACCCTCATTAAAACTATCGATATTGTTCTCGTCGAGTCAACCAACACCGGGCGGGTGGTTCCCAGATTGAGGCAACCCGGTGGCTGTAGCTGTCATTAGTTCGTTCATGAGAGAATCGGCAGCTAAGAACCGTAGAACTGGGTCGTGAGGTCCGCGCCCCTATCAATCTGGAAAGACATTAAAAGATGTGAGAATTGACCAACCAAATTGCTGGAATCAGAAATAGACCCCTGTTGGGCCTCAGCTCTGATCCTGGAACAAGAGGGAACGATGCATTAGCGGACAAGCCTCTTTCCAGGCCCCCGTTAAATGTCTTGGACTTGAGGAGGTCTCGTGGGCCAACCATGACCTTTGTTGAGTAATATAAAAATACCCTTGAAGATCATTCACGCTCTTGATCTGCACCGGGGGTGGAGACAGTATAGAGGGAGAGACCGGGGCTTCAGATAGAGGCACGGCCGAAGATATTCGTATACGGCAGAGAATAAACTCTTGTAAGCTTGGGTGATTGAACTCAAGTCGGTGATACCTAGCGCAGTTGGCGAGCTGAAATATGTATCGCGGACCAGTGAACGGACTAAAGAACTTAGTTGGATACCCAAGCGCGTTTGACGGGAACGCCGTCAGGTCCGTCTAGCCGTCCAAGGAACAGCAACCCAGGTATGGATGGTTACTGCAGGCCACGGACGATGACACGCAGTTAACAAGAACAGGGGCGTGAACAGCGAGACACAGGTTTGCAAGGGACTTGCACCACACCTGCGCTATCGTGAGTGGGTGTTGGTCTCCCGTGCACGGGAGTCGATCGACCGGGAGTGAGTACCTGGAACTTGGTGAGGGCTGCGGCAGCCGAAAGAGTACCACCGGATGCATGACGAGTGCTTGAGATGCTTGAATGCGCGTGTGTATGCATGCTTGTGCAACCACTGACACGATGAGGTTGTCGTGAAATAGTTCTAATCGCGGATTGTGACAACAAGTGGCTTCAATGGTTCGTTCTCCTGTTCGAACTGTCAAAAGCCTTATTTTGGAGATGTGTCGCCTTCTGTACGGAGTAGACTGGGTACTCTCTGTATGCGGACACGGAAAATGAAGTTTCTTTGCAGTTTAGCTGTGCAGTAGCACCACAGCTAGACTCGGACAGGCGTGGGGTCTGCCCCAGAGCCAGACAGAGGGTATCGAATCGGTGGTTTTGGAGGGCGCTGGGATCCCGTACAGTCCCTCGAATGAAGTCTGTCGGTGAGTGAATGACGGGTTGTTTAGTCTAGTGCATGCATGCATGTACCAGTCAGTGTCCAGGCTCAATGATGCTGCTCCCTCCCGCTGAAGAAGAAAAGTGAGGTTTGTACAGGGGCAGGGGGAGTTGAGACAACCGAGACAAGGATGAGGTGCTAACTTATAGGCTCGCTTAGCACTGATCACTTGTCACTTAACTGAGCTCAACTCACCCTCAATCACCCTGGAAAGTTTAGTTGTGTTTCGGCCTGACTGGGCATTGGATCCAATGTCAGAAATGGGCATTTTCAGAAAAACAAAGTGTCCATTGTGTGTGCTATGGAGGGTGTGGCAGTGGAAGTTGAGAGGTACGTACTGCCCTGTAAGGTACAGTAAGTACATTGGATGCCCAGAGGTTACGTAGGAAAGTACGACTATCATAAATTAAGTTTAGGTTGTGATGGATGGATGGAGGAAGCAGGACCAACCTCACCTCGCCTTACCTTTACCTTACTTCTCTGTTCCTTCCAGTCACCTCCTCCACCTGCTTTCTTATTGATTGACCACTTTTTCGCCTCAACCTTGACCCATGACTTCCCATCTATTGCTTCTTTGGAGCGTTCCAATTTGAGGGAAGGTAGGTGCTAATACTCTCGGTATAGCTGCCATTTCCACGGAAATATAATACCTGCCTATACCCTTCCAGCTTTCTGTTATATCCTACCTAGGTATTTTTCCTATTGTTCACTGCATCCCCCTGTATCTATCGACCTTTCTATCTGTTTGTGGTTGATACCAACACAAAGAAAGACAGGTCAACTACCGAAGCCCCATCGCCTGCTTACTTTTTCTTCTTTTTTTTTCTTCTTCATATTTTCATCACATCCTCCGCTGGCAATTTCTGTATTTCGTCTTCCTCTTCAATCACCCAGCCATTCTATAAAAGCAATATACCTCCACTACCTATCTACTTGGCCCAGCCTTTGGCGATTGCCCTCTACTGTCATTCTGACAACTTCCACCAAACATCTTACATACAATAGTTGTTTACTTGATCAGCAAGTCTCCTATTGCATAAACTGCTTCTATCTCAAAACCTTTTCATATCTTAACATACCATCTCAACAAGCACCTCGAGTCAATATTTACCCATCTTTGGTGTGTTTTGACTAGTATCTGACTTGGACCAGCAAATATATATGTCAGCGGTTTGGAAGTGCAACACAGTACAACCCAGTCAGGTCAAAATATCACCGTGCGACACTCTCCTAGCTCGTCATCCTCGGCCTCATTAATTGTCGACTTACACCGGGTCCATACAACCCACTCAACGCTGAACCCCGGTGCTCAAGCCGACCAATCACTAGCTCAGGACTTCTAGCTCATTGCCTATTCTTCGACTATCCTACGGAGTACCTATCTCAGATTACACTACGCGCCCCATCAAAATCACATCCGCCTTCTCGTCATTACTTCCACTGGTGGGACTCTCTCCTAGTCTCTACCAGTCCAGACTTATACTGCCGATCCTCTCGTGGGCCCTTCTGTTTCAACGCAAGTCAATTCAACGGATTGGTGCCAAGTGAACTCAGGTACCCGCTATCGGGTCATTCTTCTTCTTCTGGACCCTGAAGTTCTTGTGAGGGCTAGGATTTGGTATTTCTGAGGACCGACCTTTTTCAGCGTGAGGTAGCTTGGCTATGGGAGACATTCACTCTACCTCGTTGACGCTTCATCTTCTGCAACCATCACGGATCTGAGCCCCCTAAAATTTCTCCCTTCCCAAGTCTGCAGCAAAACGGGTACCTTACTCTCGTATCAGTCATAAAACGACTCGTATATACAGCCATCATGTCCACGCAGTTTCCAAACGTACGTGGTTTGCTTACCAAGCCTCCAAAACTTAGTACCAGACTAACGTGTTAGTATAGTTTCAACAGGACCAGTTTGACATTTTCGAATGGCATCCCAAGTTCCTGTCTTGCCTTCGGTACTTCATCGACCATGCTCAGTATAGCCCAGCAGTTCAAACTGTCGCCGCCTGCGTCAACATTCTCCTCCCTTTCCAGAAAGGAAACCTACATCCCCTAACGCCGACACGCAATGGGCCCTCATCTTCATCTTCCTCCAGAGCGTCAGGCCCTGGAAGTTTACCCTTGGGATCTACCTCAATCTCTCTAATTCCTTACATTCGCCGTCTCATAGTAACAGGTTTCGATACACCCGCAGTTCTGCATGGATTCTTCGGCGACGATTGGGTGGTTGGCATTGGACGGGTTCACGAAAGTGAACGCAGAAACTACATGTTTGCCGCTAAGAGCGATACCTGGTTGAGAGTCAAAACTCAATATGATATGGACGATGGGCAAACAGTCCCATTCCTGAGACCGCTACAGAACGTTACCGAGGAAGAGATACAAGCAGCTGAATCTAACTGGAGCGAATGGCTTGCAATGCAAGATTGGATGCTTGGGCCGAGGGCTCCGCCGGATCTCAGCGAGCATTTTGTCACGGTTAAGAAGGAACGCGACTGATCATGTGAGGAGTGTTTAGAAGCACATATCCTACAAATGGTTCATGGTAGAAGGCAGCCGCTCGGGGCATACGATAGACGGATTGGATACGATGCTGAAGCCAGCATATGGACTGGGTCTCATCATTGAAGGAAGAAAGCAAGTAGATAGTTGGATTACTTTGATTGAGGGGGAAGATAGGGAACCAGCACCTACACTTCCACCCTTACTAGCATAGCGATGCCAATTCACTGTTTTTGGACACTTCTCGCATGCTGAACCTTTTCAAGTCCACTGTCTTCTTTCATCCTTGCGCCAGAGTTACATAAACTCCGCATCTATCTGTGTTGAGTTGGCTCGGTATATACAGTAGCATCAGCCCGGCAATCTCTGATCCTGGCCGACCTGAGATCAAGGTGGAAAAGACGCATAGCACTGGCCGGTTGAACGCCCCACGAAAGCTCAAATACCCCCTTTTCCCTTTCATCTTCAGGTAGTAAAACAAAAGTCCAGCCCCCTTTTCTCCGGCGACTTTATAAGATAGAACGAAACTGCGAAAGCAGCGCAAAGCATCCCCCCCCACTACACGTGAGCATCTTCATCCTCCAAAATCCTTATGGGTTGACCAAGTGAGCTTTCTCTGAGCCATGAGTACCACACCCCAATTTCTCTCCCAACGCCATGATGGAAATGAATCCCGACCCAATGTACATTTTTACGTCTTTGCGCTTTCAGGGGTAGTATGCCCAAAGACGGTGTGGTGTCAATAGTAGTAGGATGATGCAAGAGCTGAAAACAAGACGAAAGAGACTTGCAAAGAAACAAAAATGTAAAGTATTATAGTAGTATCAGTTGAGGAAGCCCTTGCAGGCCGCTGTGCCACAGAGGCAAGGAATGCGGTCTAGGCTGCCGATCTCACGCTCAAACTTGTAATCGTACGTCAACTCCTCGTCTATATGTTTGTTAGCAATGCGTCAATGGCTATAGTCCAGGAGGGATACATACTCATGGCAATGTCACGCAACGCATAGATGACAATGCGCTTGCTTCCCTCGACCTTGATGATCTTTGCAGTGCAGTTGGGCATGCAACTGTGGTTGATGAAACGCGCAATGCCACCCTTCTTTGTCGCGTCGATGACGGTATTGTCGTCAATACGGAATAGGTAACTGCTTCCAATGCCACTTTTGAGGTAACGGTTCTCGCGGATCTCGGATATCTGCTGTCGAACTTGCTCTCCGACATACTCAATAATCATGTCATCCTTCGCAATGTTCTCCATAGCATATAAGCCCCAGTTGTGAATGGCTGAGCGAGCAAACTTGACGGGCTTCTTTCGCTTCTTGAGCTGGTTGAATTTGAAGACATCAGAGTCTTGGCCGAGTGTCTTCTTTTGGTCGTTGAGGTCTTGCACGTAGCGACGGTTGGTAGCGCGGTACGCTCGTGAATGGTCCTTGGCAACCAGTTTCTCGGCAGCGATTCTTGCTGCATCTGCAGCTTCTGCTGCCGCATCCCTGCCCGATTTGTTACGGGCTTCTCGCTCCTGTCTTGCCTTCTGCACCTTGATATGATGAGGTAGGTACTTAGACTTTTCAGAGTTGAGAATCTTCTTGACACCCTCGGTACGTGCACAGCCAGTAGGATTGGGTACATAGTAACCACCGATAGTGACAGGAGAATCCAATGTCCTGCTGGCAGAGTTGAGCTCCCTGATGCGGTTACGGGTCCATAGCCACAACTCTGGGTTGCCGATGTCCTTGGCAGTGAACCTCCTGGAAAGTTTTGCGAGATCAGGTATGTCGCTCTGACTAATTGCCAATCCTTGGAAGAGTGGTAAGTCAGGCTTGGCGCCATCGGGTAGCGCCAGTGCAGGAGTTAAGGGTTCTGTTGACAGAAGTTTCTCGTCATACTTCTCTGTAACGACCTCTTTTGTGGGAGGCTTTTCTGTGTCCGCTCCAGTCTTCTTAGCCTTTGGAGGTTCCACAGCTTCTTCCTCGTCGCGTTGAGAGTCTGTCTCTGGCAGGAGGTCCTGAGCCTCAAGCTGCTCATGAATGTTCGTCTTCTTTGCCCTGGATGGTCGCTTCTTCAGAGGTTTACCTATGACTGAAGCTGGGGTTTCAGAGCGGGATATTCGACTATCGATGTCGTCACCCGTTTCTGGTTCGGGGATTATTATATCCACAGAATCTTCGCGTGTCTCAAATCCTGACCCAAGCGCTCCGAGCCTAACGCCAAACAATTCCTCATCAGACTTCTTTTGACGTTTGAAAGCCGATTCCACTGATGCTGCCAACTTCCGCTTTCGGGAAATAGCAGAATCTGCTATAGCGAAGCTGGCTTCGGTCATAGAATCGTCCTCGCCTTGCTCCCATGGCACAAAGTCATCCTTGGATGCCTCGTCATCAGTGCTCATCCGGCTGCGAGGTCGCGACTCGGCTTCTTCTGTCTCACGCGCCAACAAAGTACGGGTATCCGTGTCGTCGTCGGATTCGACATCACTATCGAGGCTTCTAAGACGGTGATGCAGCGAACGGAAAGCATTTCGAGCAACAGGTGGCCGTTTTCGTGCGAAGGGGTCAACAAAAGCGTTCTTTTGCTTAACCTTGGTTTTGCGAATTCTCGGTAGAGCTTTGGGTTCAATTCGACCAGTTCGTCGCTCGATTGGATCAGCTCGAGAGTTGGGAGTTCCTACACGTGAGCTGTCATTGCCGTCTTCGATACTGGCCATCTCCTGCAAATCATCAGGGTGCTCAATGTTCAACTTCCGGCGCTTAGCAGCATGGTTGGCAGGATCCAGGAAATCCGAGAGAGCAGGTGCGGCGACCTTGGTGCGAATGTGTCGAATAAGATGTTCTGTCATCTCACGTCTAACAACCTCCACAGCCTCGATCACCGGATCAAAGTTCTTAGCTCTTTGCTTCTTCTCCTCTTCAAGATCTGCTTCTTCTTCTCTCCGCCGCCTGTCCTTCTCATCGCGATATCGTGGCTCGGTATTTGTTTTTCGCTCTGGACTTGCACTGGATCGCCGGTGACCTGAGGCGCCATCTCGGCGGGGACGAGGTAAGCATAATTGCATAGTCATGTCATAATTGAAGAATTCGGTGTGATTAACAGCGCGAAAACATCGCTCAGCTTCTGACTTCCCGGTAAACGAGTTGCGGAACACGATGAAATAGCCCGACTTGTCGACCCGGATTTCTTCAAATCCATAATTCTTGAGTCGTTTCTTCATGTGTGGAAGAATACTTGGTAGTACTGGGACACTATCGCCTGTCACGTAAATATATGGATCGTCCGCGAGTTTTAGAGTGAGGTTCGAAGTTTCGAGATTGAGGCCTTTTTGTTGTGACGGGAGTAAAGAAAGTTGTGGTGCACCTGGGGCTACAGGTTGTCGTTGTGCTGAGGGGCCCTTAGGAGCGGTTGGGGGAGGTCTAGTAAAGCCAGGAGCAGTTCCAGATTTAGGACCGGTCGGAGGTGCTTTGGCTGCAAGAGCAAGTCGCTCTTGTTCTTTCTTCTCAAACTTTTCCTTTTCCCTCTTAAGATGCTCTTCTAGCATACGTCGGCTTCTACGCCCTTCCGCATCATACTCTACACGGACGATGTCGGCGTCAACCTTGATACCTCGAGTCCGCACAGCTCGGCGAGCTGCGTCGATAGCAGAAACGGGGGGTCGGTCGGGTCGCTTAGAGTCTCGGTATCGGATTGTCGCAAATCCAAGATAGCTACCTGTCTCTGGGTGCATCTTGTTGCTGCTCTCGGCAATTTCACCAAAGGTGGCAAAAATCGCCGTGACTTTGCTGAAAGGAACAAGTGGGTTATACCTCGTCACTACAATCTGCGTGGGTGGGCCAGGACCAATGGAGGTCTTGGGATCATAGGGATACGGCTTGATGTTCTCAGGTGCTGTTCGCAATCGCGATTTAGGGAGGTAGTAATCGGTGTTGATATAACCGAGGCGACCGTCCGACTTGGCCAGTCGAGGGTCTTTGGGGGGGGCGTCATCGTCCTAATCATTTTCATTAGCCATGAGTCTTTTACCACAGATGACGCCCCCCCTAGGGAGGGATGTTTATAGTTATACGTACTCGACCGAACTCCTTATATGTCGGCTTCGCGTTCTTGCTGACGCTCTTATTGTGTACTCGATCGAGGAGCGGATCATAGGTGCACTTAAGGCCCTTGACGGAGGGCATGGGATCTCGAGCCGGGATGCGCTCATTGGAAAGAGGTCCGTTTGATATCGAGCCATTGTGACCAATGGCCGGTGAGTTTCGGGAGGACTGTCTCGCGGCCCGGTCGGCGGTCAGACATGTAGACATTTCTGGCTTTGTGGTGGCCGAAGCCAATGAGTTGGGAGAATCTTTGGAAGCGATGGGAGTAAGGCTCGAGGTGGGAAGACGGGACGAAGCTGAAGTTGCCGCGGCACCGTGGCGGGCGGTTGTGCTAAATATTGATGAGGCCGTGCTACTGTATGAGCTGGCCGAGTCGACAGTGCTGGGAATGTCTGTGAATGGTGATTCTGTGTCGTCGGGCTGTGCGGGCATAGTATCTGACGCTGAAACGATGCCGTTTTGGCCAGCATTCGCGTCTGCGTCTGACGCAGCTGGTGTTGATGTAGGGTCGCAAGCGCCGGTCATAGAGGCCGGTGTTGACCCAGTCTTTGAGTGTTCGCGATCTTTATTCAGGTCCGGGCGAGTCTGAGACTGAGCTTTTACCTTTGGAGCTGTGGGGAAGAATTGCGCGAAGCTCGCGCCTGGCGGGCGAGTCATCGTGACGATGCGCTCTTCCTACTTCTTCCCCCGTGCTCTTACCATGATATCCTTAAGCTGAAGCGTTGAGGGTACACCAAACAGTGGAATGATCTCTATCTCGCGGCGATTCCAGACGGGTTGTGTTGATCGAGATAGCGATGAATTTGAAGAGATTGAGGGTGAGAGAATGCTTCACGCGACCGAGGGATGCTGAAGTTGAATGTGGCGGAGCGGCGTCACCGACCGACTCTATGAGCAGTAAAGGAGTAGAAAAGTCGTCAGAGCGTGAACAAGCAGACTGACTCAAATGATTGATGCGCGCGACAAAGGTGGGCGCGATGATGGATAGCAATGTCCAAAGTGTCGAGGAAAACGAGGGGGGAAATTGGTGGGAGAATGAGAAAAAATGGCTGACGACCAAGGAAGTTGACGTTCGCTTCGCTCTGCTTTGCTTTGCTTTGACTTTTGGTTCAGGGATGAGTAGAGTTACTTTTAGCGGTAAGGTCCAGGTCAAATGAGAGGGATCGCCCAGCCACAGCTTGAGTGGCTTGGAAGGTTATTGTAGCTGTGATTGGATGTCGTGCTTGGGTCGATACACGGTTGGTGGGGATGCGTTTGGTTGCCAATTAACGCGTTCCACAAGATCAAGTAAGTAAGGGACTGGCACCGCGTCAGTGGACGTGATATTGGATGAATTGGTTTGTCCGTTATTTTGCTGCAAACTCCCTCGTGTTTTGTATTGGGCTTCAATGTTAATTTATAAACGCCAATGCGGTGTGCCCTCTTATGCATCCGTCCCTTGTTTACCGTTTTGAACCACTCGTTTGACAAGGTACCTTGTTTGGAAACAAGGCAGATGTCATCATGCATGAAAGCGAGGTCTTTGTCCAAGCATTCCATCTGTTCGAGAAACAAAGATGAAAGAGACTCTTCTAAGTCAACAAAGGCAAGATGATGTATATTCATGAATCAAAGTAAAGAGGAACACCGCAAATAGCAGCAGTTCCGTGATCTTGCAGATGTAGCTTGCCAATTCATTGAAACGGAAGACAATGTTTGGATCAGACCTAACCTATACCATTTCACATGCCTGCCAAGACACTATACAGTTGTGAAAACGTACCTTAAACCCAGATCAAAGGACAAGTCAAGTCATTATTAACAAATCTATTCATGGTCAATATTTGCCAAGTGCAGCTAATACCTCGACATGAACCATCTGGCATACAGACATTAAAAAAAAGTACAGCGATTGTGGCCTCACAATCCAGAACCTTCCAAACTCCGACTCGTCGCCCATATTAATATTACGACAAGCTTCTTCCCAAACGCCAAATATTTTTGCAGTACAAGTTGACAGCTTAGAAGTTCAGCTTCAGCTCAAACTCCTCCTCCTCATCGTCGGAAATGTCAAGTGGCTGGCTCAAAGGTGGGAGATCATCATCTTCACCATCCTCGTCGAAGATGGACATGAACTGAGGTCTTGGCTTGGTATCCTGCTGCTGCTTTACCGCCTGGCGAAGACGAACTGGAGTGATGGTGAGATCAGACTGAAGAGAGCTGACTGTCTCGACGGGCTTGACAGCACGCTGTGTTCCGACAGGTGCGGTAGTTCCGCGACGTTGAGCGTTGACCATGGAAGATGCTGATCTACCTCGGTTGTAGCCAATAGTGGTTCGTGACGCAGCAACGCCAGTAACACTGTCTGCAGGTGATGTCTTGGCAGGCACCACACTTCTGGCGACAGGCTTCTTGTTCTGATACAAAGAGGCGAGAGGCTTCCGAATCTTTGTTGTTCGTGCCACACTCGAAGCCTTGCTGTTGCTACTGGCGTCTGAGTGGATGGACAAAGCAGAGGCAGCGCGCCTTGATGCCAGACTTGAAAGCTGCTTGGGTCGGATGCCCTTGACCTTTCGCTCCGAGTCCGCAATAGTAGCCTTTGGTACTGGTGCCTTGATCTGTACTTCAGTGTCTGAAAGGTCATCGATGTTGAAGGTCAAAGCAGCTGTCTCTCGCTTGTTTCTCTCCTCCGCCTTGGCAGCAACCTTCTTCATTGTCTCTGCAAACTCCCTGTCCTGTCGAGAAACGCCATTATCATCAACTGGATTGTAGAAATGCTGATAGTATCCCTTCAGAATATTTTCTTTCTTCAAGCCCTCCAGGGTCAGCATGTCTTTGGGGAAACAGTCCGATTCATATGGGAGATCCTTGGGCTTTGGCGGGGCATATTCAGGCTCTTCTTCCTGTGGCTCGATGGGCTTCTGTTCTTCCTTGAGTCGAATTTCGAGAGGTGCAAGATCCACTGGTCGCTGCTTGGGCTTCTGTGCCGTTGGCTTGAGTTGCGTCTGCTCGATACCCTGGATGATGTTCTTAACACCACCAAGTTGCCCGTTCTTAGCCTTGGCATTGGTGGTTTTGTTGCCTAGAGGAGCTCGATTTTGGGTACCTATTAACACATCTCCAATTAGCATATTGCTCTTTGTCCTGGAAAGAATCATGCGTACCCATTGGGGTGACCATGGCCTGTCGTGTTCCATTGCCTTTGTTCAGCGTCTTCACTCCACCCAATCCGACCTTGCCGGTAAAGGCAGTGGGAGCATTTTCATCATGCTGAGGAAATCGGGAAGGCGTTTTTGGAAATCGTGTATTGTGTTGCTGTTTGGTCGGAACTTGCTGGCTAACAACCAAGTTCTCTTGGTCGCGATGCGCCGCCAACATGATGGCTACTATAAGCGAATCAAGGATTTAGAATATCTTTGTCTGTCTCCGGATAGAATTAGGCAGATGTTGATCTCGTCATTGAATTCAATTAATCAAAGAGGTAATTACGGTTGGAAGATGAAAGGGTCATTTGCTCATCTGCCAGGACCTTCACGGCCGGGATGTTTTGGTCGGCCTGTGCTGGCTGGCGGGGCAACCGCTATCTTTGGGTGCATGCTCCCTAAGTTTACAGTGGAAAGTGCCGGCATGTGAGCGCCACACCTCAACGACCGCCACAAGCCAATGGGGCTACACCCAGACGCGGCCTCCACCGGGGCAGCTGTGGAGGGGCATCACTCCTCCCCTTTCTTGGTAGGTACTTAACCGCTTCATCTTACATCCGAACAACACGACCTCTGTCTTCATCGCCGGTTTTCCTTCAGCCTTTTCTTCAACCTAACCAAAACTTTCGTCGCTTATCAAAATGGATCGCATCAAGGAGGTTAGTTACCCAAAAAGTTACTTGCTACCCCGCCATGGCAACCCAAAAGGAACCGTTGTGGAGGGGTAAACTATCGTTGGTCGACCCATGCTAATATGGCGATGGTGGATAGAAAATGAACCAGCTCCGCCTGGAGGCCGACGAGGCCAGCGGCAAGGTTGAGGAGCTCCAGAGCAAGGTTAAGGTTCTCGAGCAAGAGAATCTGTCAAAGGAGCAGGAAATCACCTCCCTTCAGCACAAGAACAACCTTCTCGAGGGCGAGGTCGAGAAGCTCGAGAACGCCGTTAAGGACTTCAAGAAGGCCGCCGACGAGGGCCAGCAGCACGGAACTCAGAACGAGACCCTTCAGCGAAGGCTGCAACTCCTCGAGGAGGAGGCCGAGGATGCCGACAAGACACTCCGTGAGGCCAACGAGAAGTACGTTGAACCCCCTTTAGCAAGCCTCCTTACCGCCATTTCGACAACCATCAATTTTAGGCATCATAAATGATACAACGGCTAACAAAGCGATTCTCTAGGCTCCGACAGACCGACGTCAAGGCCGGACACTTCGAGCGAAAGGTGCAAGCTCTTGAGAACGAGCGTGACCAGTGGGAGTCCAAGTACGAGGAGATGTCGCAGAAGTACAACGCTCTCCAGAAGGAGCTGGAAGAGCTCCAGGCCGAGATTGGCAACATCTAATTTATCCTCGACCTTTAAGCACTCGCGCCGGATGCAGGATCCATCTTCGTTAGCATGTCCGCAGCCATCAGTATACTCGTCCAGTTGTATGATGCCTTGGTTGCAGGTATTTCCAGGTGTTGGCCAGATGAGCGAATGGAGCAGTTGCCGCATGTCATGTTACGTTTCTACTACTAGCTGATTGAAGCTGGCTTTTCTCAAAGGGTATCTTTTGTAAATGGTGCGCCTCTTACATCCTTCTATGCTGTCCAAGTCCACTGAGTTCCAACGTACTTTATCATGACCTCCTCTTTGCCTTCTTGATTCTCTGCTTCTTATCCGTCAACTGCCTCTCGAACTTGGTCTCGTATCGGAACTTCTTCTTCTTTTTCTTGGGTTCCCGTCGTGACTTTGCTTTTTGATCGTCCTTGGTTTCTTCAACCTTTTTATCCTCCTCATTATCCTTGTCGTCGACTTGGGGTTTGTGTAATCCATCTCGTGTCACCGACACAGACTCGACCGTGACAGTAGTATAACGATCTTCGTCGATGTACTCTTCTTCGTGATCAACAATATCCAGCTCTGGCTGATCAGGAAAACCGTCCCACTCCCCGTCTTCCTCGTCAGATTCCTGCTCAACCGCTCCAGCAGCTTCCGACTCCTGCAATAATCTGTTTACAGTCTGGACGTGCTCTTCGACGTCGCGCTTTCGTTCTTCTCGTATCTAAGTAGAATATGTTAGTACAATTCGAAATTGACAGTCGTAATCTCGCTTGAAAATTTGGCGTACCTGTTTTCGCATCTCAAGCTTCTCCTGGCGAGCTCTCTTGGCAGCCTCTTCTTGAGCATTCTTGATACGCTGCTGCTTGCGCTTATGGAAACCAGTCAAATATTCCTGTCGCGCCTCGAAGTCGAAGTTAACCTCCTCGACAGCAGATGTCATCTTTCGCTTCTTGGATGGTGGAGGCAAAATGCTCTTTTTGGGTCTTGGTTTGGCGAACATGATTGCTTAGGTGCACGATAGTCGTGACGTGCAAATACAATTCTCAGAATGTATCGAGTAAACTATTTTGTTGGCTACAATAGTATCTTGAACATCAAAAAATCCACAGTCGCGAAACTTTCCCAGGGTAGCTCCACAACGGAATGGGTCTCTAGCGCTCACCGAGGTGTGCACGCAACGGGGCTTTGCACGTATCGGATTAGTTACGTAAGGTGGATGCTACTGTATCAGCTCTCTCAATGCCAGCATTATCATCACAAGCTGGAATCGCCAGGCAGACACAACGCCCAATAACCAGCAAATACCATCCGTGATGCGTCTCCAGATTCTCGCCAGCGCTCTTGCGCTCAGCGGTTCCGCCGCCGCTTTCTCAGACTCATGGCCATTGGTTATGTTTTCTACCTCCAAGTATGACGCGCGCCTCCGTGTCCTACCTATACTAGGAGCTCCCTACTAACGATGACGATTTAGGTTCTCCGATGCACCCAGCAACAACCACATCCAGACGCGATCCCAAGCTCTCGAGCAGGTTCAGGGCCTCCTGACTTCATGTCCGACTGATAACTACGTCCTGATTGCTCATGAGGGTGTCAACGCTGCTGATCTTCGACGACCGAACACCATGTCCAATCTTCACCATGCTATCGGCCGCAAGGAAATCCAGGGCAAGTTTATTGTCCCTGAGGTTGTTGGCGAGTCGATCGATGCGGCTGCGATCCAGGACTACATCAAGACGGCGTGTTATGAGCAGGCAAAGAAGGTTAAGCCTCATTTCACCCTAATCAAGGCTTCAAAGAATGAGAACGGTCAGTTATGATAAAAATTCGCTTGAAGTTCACATTTTGACCATATTACAGAAGTTATTAAGCAGTGGGAAGAGAGTGAGCAATGGTTGAATGATTCATACACCGTCCTTTTCGTTGGCACGCCATCCACCAAGGCCAAGGTCGCCGCATCCAAGTCCGAGAAGACCATCTACGAGCCCGAATTCATCGAGCCCCTGCACATGGACCTGAAGCGCGATGTCTTGGACAACGCAAAGAAACCTGGTAACGCCACACGCGACACCCGTGGTCTATTTGAGAAGTACCAGTTCTTCACACCCGGTAAGCTACCTTCGTAGACTCTGCGCATGCTTCACATCATACTAATCCTTTACAGGTATCTTCATGGGAATCATCGTTGCTCTTGTCCTGTTCTCCTTGCTCGGCGTTGGTCTGCGGGCTCTGGCTAGTCTCGAGGTCTCCTATGGCGCTTTTGAGAAGGACATGGGTCCCGCTGCTCAAAAGAAGCAGCAGTAAACCACTTGTACTGAATAAACGAGCGCTGTTCATGGATCGGTCTTCCATATGGAATGATACTTGTATATCAAATTACGGAGTTTGGGTTCCTTTTGGTGCGACTTGATGGGAGGATTAGTATCGGCATGTAATGTTGCGAGCATCAACTGTAGACAGGACATAGGGTTGAGGATCCAGATAAAGGGCCTTGACCCAAGTTTATTGAGTACTTTTCCCAGATGCGAATCGAAGTTAAAGAATTCAACGCCAAACTCCGATATGACACCTCTAGTCATGAACATCCGACCTCTCTAGTGGTGATGCATCTCCGATGAAATCTTGCGAACGTAACAAATCATGGCTCGATATTGTCATCTTTACACCAAGTGACTGGGCAGCAAAAAGTTGGCAATGCCCTCCTTGACGGCGTACTCATGCCCACAGTTGCCACAAACGAGCTTTCCCTCGGACATTTGAGTCTCGAGAAGAAGATGGTGAAGATCCTTGAGGGTCTTCTCATCAGCCCGAAGCTCAACTGCTGTAGGAGGCTGCTCAGGGAGTTGAGGGAAACCCAACTGTAACATGAAAGTGTCAGAAACTTGTTTCAAAAACAGACGGCGAGTTTCATTATCGCCTTGTTCTCGCCAACTCACCTCAGATGCTGTTGTGCAAAGAGCTGTCCAGTCGAGACGGGGCAGCACGTTGAGGATCATGTCAGGGTTCAACTCAATATCGTCTTGGACGAGTTCAGCGTCCTTGGGGTGAAGAGGGTATGAGTCTTTAGAGGACTTGCAGGCCTTGACGGCGCAAGTGAGGAAGTTGAGGCTGAGAACCTTCATCTTGACTTTGGAGAAAACAACAACAGGAGATGTGTTAAATATTCGCGAAGAGATCGAGAATCGTCAAATTGATGTTGTCTAGTAGGTTACTTACACAACTTTTTTTTCTTCTATGGCGGGGGAGGAACTTGGTGGTGAGGTGAGCCCCACGTGACAGGGATGTTGTTCTACTAGAGCTACGATGGCTATAATATGGACAAGACGGAGCAGAATGCCAATTCACCATAAATTTAGGCTGTAATTCTACAATTGAAAGGAACGACTAGTAATCGGTAAAGATCAAAACACACATTTGGTCTTGATATGGTCGGTGTTGTATTGTCTATTATTGAATACTGAGTCTCGAGTCGCTTAGAATCGAGAGCGCTGACGGGCGTGGCGAAGTCCAACAAAGACAAGACCAGCAACAACGGCAAAGAGGCCAGCCTTCTGGAGAGGAGACCAACCAGCGGAAACCTCCTCCGCAGCGAATTCAGATGTGCCGTAAAGGTCTAATTGAGGCGAAGGCTACGCATCAGCAAATCCGGCCTTTTGAAGATTATCAATGAAGGCGAGGCAACGGACAGGTGCAAAACAAGAGTGTTGCCTCTTAGAGCTCGACGTGAATACCTTCAGGGGGGACCTCGAGCTCGCCGCTCTTGGCGATCTTGACCGCCTCGACAGGTCGGTCCGCACCGCCAGTCTTGGTGTTCTCGATCTTCTCGATGATGTCGTAGCCCTCGAGGACCTCACCGAAGACGACGTGCTTGCCATCGAGCCACCTGGAGACGCTTGTCAGTATTGCGATTGTAATTGGTTCGTTGGCGATGGGTTGCGCTTACGAGGTGACAACGGTGGTGATGAAGAACTGGGAGCCGTTGGTGTCGCGACCGGCGTTGGCCATGGAGAGGAGACCCTTCTTGGTGTGCTTGAGCTTGAAGTTCTCATCCTTGAAGCGGTCACCGTAGACTGAAGATAAATGTCAGCATTTGATGAATTGAACCGAGACGAAGCTATCGCAACATACTGGACTTGCCACCAGTGCCGTCACCCTTGGTGAAGTCACCGCCCTGGATCATAAAGTTCTTGATGACACGGTGGAAAGCAGAACCCTCATAGCCAAAGCCCTTCTCGCCAGTAGCCAGAGCGCGGAAGTTCTCAGCTGTCTCGGGAACAGTCTTGCCGTAGAGGCCCATAACGACACGGCCGAGCTTCTGGTCACCCTGCTCAATGTCGAAGAAGACCTTGTGGGTGATCTTGGGACCCTTAGCAGCCTCAGCTGTCTGGGCGAGGAAGAGGAGGCCGAGCCCAAGGACCAGGGCCGACACGAAAAGGCGACGAAGATTGAACATGATTGTTGTTTCTCTGATGATCAAAGAATACAGAGGCAGAGAAAGGGAAAGGTTGGAGAGGAGGGACGGGAAGGGACACTTATACCGTAGAGATAGACCACTGACCGGGGGGAGCTGGTCCCCGCTGCGTGCGCAATTGGGGGACCTAAACTACCTGCAGATGGCCCCCGCTGCCGGACTGGGAGTGGAGAGCTCACTCTGCGTTCCAGCACGTTTCAGCGGCTAAAGCCACCAGAGAAGCGAGTTCTTTCATTGGTGCCCTGCTGATCTAGGGCCGTGAAGCGACAGAAAAGATTCGACATGACGAACACCATTTGAGCGTAGAGTTACACTAACTTTTAAGTCAGAGCCTCATTCCCCTGTCGCGGCTCACTTCTCCAGTGGACCCCGCCCTGCTGGAGCTTCCTGGTGGCTGTCTTGTACCTTTCAGTGCAGCAATTAACCTAGGTTTTACCGAATTGTCCATCTTTTTCCAATTGCACGTCAGGTCGGCTTCGATTTGGAGATCGAGGCATGCGACTGTGATACCCACGATAATCCGTCACCATGGTACGTTTGCACCCATTTCTGTCCCTCAAACAATTGGAGATTAACAGTGTATAGGTCTTCATCCTTGGCGTCAACTTCGGCGAGCAGAAGCTCGTCAAGGTAAGTCTAACAGCCACCGAACGCTCTCATTCATTCTCACACCAGACCCTCTGATAGAAAGCCCTCGAGTCCTTCTATGCTCTTGGGCCCACGACATCTGCCCGAATTATGGCAAAATACTCGATTCACAAGCTCGCCAAGGTCGGGTCACTTGCTCCCAGAACCGTCACTTCCATTACGGCCGAATTATCACAAATGACCATCGAAACGGACGCCCGTCGCTTGGTCCAAGAGAATATTCGACGACTAAAGGATATGGGATCATACCGTGGTAGACGTCACGCCATGGGTCTGCCAGTCCGTGGTCAACGAACAAGGACACAGACGGCGACGGCCAACAGACTCAACAGGGTGGAACGACGAGGTTAAACGAATCATTGGAAGAGTGGGTTGTCTGGTTTTGGGTATAAATATCGGCAAATACCCCCAGAGAGGAATGATATGGCATGTCTAAATGCTAGAGAGTTATTATACTGAGGAGAAAAAGCAAGCCAGGCTATCTCCTTGTTGTACAAGACTTGTATATACAATGTACGATCAAATGGAAATGAATTCTAGATCGCCGTGTTCAAGCGCGGTACTATCAACTTTACGCATTCCCCAAAGAAGCCTCCTGAGCTTCGTCAAATTTCATCTTTGGCAAATCATCCTCCAGCGGCAGCTGTCCCTTGGCCTGCAACTTACCAGCAACAGTGTCGACATCTTTCCACACACGCAGCAGATTACCTCCAACAACCTTGGCTGCATCAACATTGCTGACACCCTGTCGAAGGAGTTCGGCGATCAGGTCAGGATATTTGGTGACATCTTCAAGGCCCTCAGGAACAGATGGAATACCGTCAAAGTCGGTACCGATACCAACATGATCGTACCCGATAAGGTTACCGATATAGATGATGTGCTGAGCTGCGTGTGCAAGAGTCGAGTTCTGGGGGTAAAACTCAGGAAGGCCATTTTCCTTTCCGGTATCAACACAAGAGATGAAGTCAGGAGCAATGTTGACCATGACTAGGGAGTTTCGCTTCTTGACCAGTTGTAAAACATTGTCTTTAACGTTTCGGGGATGAGGGCAGACGCTCCAGGCGGAGCTGTGAGAGAAGATGATGGGGGCTTCAGAGCCAGTCCATTCATCCTTACCGCCTAGCACATCCAACATAGTATCCTCACTGGCAGTCTTGGTTAAAATTGGATTCATGGTGGGGAGTGAGTCCAACATACCTGACATGAGAAAGATCAACAATCATGCCGATGCGGTTCATCTCGCGAACAAGCTTGCGACCCAGGGGACTCACGCCTCCCCACAGTGGCTCAGCCTTTCGATCAGGGTCTGACAAGATTGCAGCATCGGCAAATTTGTTGTGGCAGTTATGGGTCAATGTAGCATAGCGCACACCAAGCTCATGGAACCGACGAAGGTTAGATACCTTGTTGCCGATTTGATGCAGGCCCTCGATACCAAAGGGTGAGATGAGCTTGCCCTGGTTGAAGGCCTCGAAGGCGTTGGAGCTGTCGACCTTTTCAGAAAAATGGCTAGGATAGGCCGCCTGCAGCCTCGTCATGACATCAATCTGGTCCAATGTGAACTGTACGCCTATGTACGTGAGTAGGAAGCTATATGAATCAACAACCATGACAACTTACTGGAAGCATAGTTCTTGTCAGAGAAGTCGGAACCATTTGATGGACATGGAGCAAAAAGACTCCAAAATGCACCACCGCTCTGACCCTGGCGAAGACGGTGCAAGTCAACATGTCCAGGAAGCTCGCCCTGCTCAAAAGGCTGAGTGAAGTTGTCATCATAGATCTGGTTCCCGTATGCAAAACGTAGCACGATTGGAAAGTCAACGTGCCCGTCTGGAGTTATCGTGTCAACATTCATCTGATTATGGCAAAGGTGCAGGTCGTCATACCTATCAATGGTGTATGGCTGAGAATATGTCGTGCTCGCTCCTCAGGCGTTCGCAATCCGTTTCCATAGCGAGGAACGCCATTGTAACGATTACTGACTGGCCGGTGCAACAAACTGAGTCCTAGAAGTGCGAGAAAAATAGCTATAATAGTCTTTCGAGGTGTCAATTTCGGTGTAGAGGGAGTTTCATGATGTGAGCCTGTATGAAGCTGAGATAGTAATCCTCCCTTGACTGATCTATTTGCGCCCCTGGTTTTCGAGGAACGAGTGGTGTTGTATGATAGGAGAGGTTCCTGCCGCCCCATTGTGATGACAAAATAAAACAAACAATGAATCAATGTAAGGAAAGGTCGATGTGAGTAAGAAAGTGAAGTGATATGATGCTGTAAATGAGTTGAAGTCGTTGAGTTGGGCAAAGTTAAATGGCACAGGGATAAAGGTGTAACACCCTGAGCTCACGGGCTGACAAATATGGTATGCTCAGGCTATCTATCAATTGTCCTAGGATTTGATTCAATCAAGAAGAGGATGGTCACATCAAATGCAAGATATATTATTAAATTTGTACATCATTTAGTTTATAAAGGAAGATTTTTGATGTTTGATTTAAGAAAACAAGAAGAAAAAAGAAAACTCTGTGAACTTGATTCGAACAGGTGACCTTTTGATGTGAATGACTACAGCCAAATGCTCTGGCCAAATGAGCCATTCGGGGCTAACCATTTATGACTAGGCTAAAAACGGGCACTAACTCCATAAGAGGCATAGCTTTATCGATCTACCACGAATAATCACAAGACGAGAAGTACAACGTCAACCACGAACACCATGGGAGGGGACCCTGACCTTTACATTTCTACTATTACAATACGCTCGGTCCTCCAGTCGCCCAGAGATACATAATAATTAACAAGAGAAGGATCACATAAAAATGAAGGATAATGAGAGTGCTGAGATTTCGATTGAAAGCCTTAAAAAATAATACACACCATTGTCTGCTTTGAATAATTGGAGCAGCATGACTCAGCGCTCGCTGGTACTTACATGACTCTGCCGTTCCGAGATGTCCGTTAAGGCATTTCCAGACATTATACATAAAACAGTTATGCAAGCGCTGTGCAATCACTGGAAATATGCTGCTACGGAAGACCTTAAAGCAGGAAGCGCGGTTCGGAACCCCACCTTTCATCCGTTATGGAACCGTAACCAAAACGGAGACTCCGTTTTCAACCCTAGAAGCTGGGAGGCATTGGATGTTAGACAAGTTGAGAGTAACAAACGCATGAAATACTCAAAGGTCTCCAAACTGCCTTTATGAATTTAGTGTTTCTCTTCATAATTGATTATGGGAGTGATTAGATATGCTAAGTTTATCGATTCTTTCCTAAGAGTGACTAAATGAAGAAGCTTTATGGTCAATTCTAGAGAGTTCTGTACATTTAGATTATGTTAACCATAAACTCAGACCAATCTATTCAGATTATGATGAGTTACTGACAGCTACAGTCTAAGAATGGGCTAAACTTATGCTGAGTTTCTCATACGATCTCGCCTCGGAAAAGCCAGGTTCCGATTCCGGCGGGGTGGTTCTGAATGTGACTCCCACCATCGACTTTTGGAGGGGCAGCAACACGCCTGAAGTCAATCCAGAATAAAAGTGGTCTCCCTCTTTCTGTCGCGATCTTTCCTGTACAATCCCTACGCAAAATGTCGAGTCAGTCACCAGCAGAGAGGCTCGTCCTCATTAAGGAAAACCTCGCTGAGGTCCTTAATCCCGAGATTATCGAATCCATCCTGGCCGAGGGGAGAAACCCCAAGATCTACTGGGGCACCGCTACAACTGGCCGCCCTCACTGTGGTTATTTCGTCCCCGCCGTCAAAATCGCCCAGTACCTCGCTGCCGGCTGCGAAGTCACCGTCTTGCTTGCCGACATTCATGGCTTCCTCGATAACCTGAAGGCTCCAATTGAGCTCGTGGAGAAGCGCGCCGAGTACTACAAGTTCGTTATCACTGAAATGCTCAAGGCCTGCGGAGTCCCTACCGACCAGCTACGATTCGTCTTTGGAAGCTCTTACCAAAAGACCGCCGACTATGTGATGGACCTTTACAAGCTTGCCTCAGTGGTGTCTGAGCACGATGCCAAGAAGGCTGGTGCTGAGGTGGTCAAGCAGACTGGCAATGCGCCCCTCAGTGGTCTCATGTATCCTCTGCTGCAAGTATTGGATGAGCAGTATCTCGATTGCGACGTTCAATTTGGTGGTGTTGATCAGAGGAAGCTTTTCACAGCCGCCACTGAGTGGTTACCCAAGCTTGGGTACCGAAAGGTATGTTTGTGCCATTCTTGGATGGAACACAGCTGACTTTACAAGCGCGCCCATCTCATGAACCCCATGGTTGCTGGTTTGAACGGAAACAAGATGAGCTCAAGCGACGAGAGTAAGAGCTTCGCTCGCATATCCCTAATGCAAACCATGCTAACAGATGGCTTTCAGACAGCAAGATCGACCTACTTGACGCACCTGATGTTGTGGCTAAGAAGATTCGCAAGGCAGAGTGTGTTCCAAAGGAGGTTGAGGGCAACGGTGTCCTGGCACTTGTGGAGTATGTCCTGCTGCCAGTTTCTGGCTTAAAGGCTGGTTCTCGATCGTTCAAGGTCGAGAGACGTGAAGGCGAACCACTGGTCTACAGCGACATCCAGAAGGTCCACGAGGATTACCGAAACGACGTGGTATGTTCTGTTGATGAATGATTGATTGCTGAAAACGGTTGCTAACACGATATGTTCAAGTTGACACCTCAAGACTTGAAGGCTGCGGTGACCAAGGGATTCCAGGAGCTTATGAACCCTATCCAGGCTGAATACGAAGCCTCAAAAGAGTGGCAGGAGGTCACCCTGAAGGCCTACCCCCCACCGGTCAAGAAGGAAAAGAAGGTCAAGAACAGGGGAACCCGATTCCCAGGTGCTAAGGGCGGTGACAATACCGAGGCCGAAGTGACAAAGAAGGCTGAGGACTTGACAATTAAAGACGTACAGGCAACTGAGGCCAACCCTACCGCATAAAGAAAAACTCAAAAATGAAACAAAGAGAAGAATCAGATTTCAAAATATTGAACAGGGTCACACATTTACGATTAGCGATTTGACGATACTAGACAAGAGTCTGAGATAAACAAAAGCGTCCAGGAGCCGTGTAGAGAGACTAGGATGAAATGATATATTGAAACAAGTAAGGAATTATAAATTAGTGCCAAAACCATCTAAAGGAGATATTGTTTTTTCATGCCGAAAAGGTTCCTAAACACCTTATACCAACCCATATATAGTGATTATATCTACCTGTGCATGGCATGCCTGCCTGCTCAGTTTCTACCTACTCGCCATTGAAGCAACAAGCATCGTAGACGGAGTAGTACCAGCCGTCCCTAGCCTCAAATCCAAGGGCAGAAACAGCAGCATCGTAGAGCTCACACTGGTTGCTAGTGGTGATACCAATGGCTTTGCAGTTGTCAGTCTTGTCACACTCCTCCTGACATTGGTTAAGCTCATAGTCGTAGAAGACTTGGATGAGATTGCTGTCACCGTTGTCGAAAAAGCCAGTCTTGGCGCAGGTGAGCTCAGATCGAGGAGGGCAGCCGGAAGTAGCAGCAGCGGAGGTGGTTGTGTAAGCCTCTGAGGTAGTTGTGGTAGGCTTGGAGGTGGTTGTAGGGGCGACGGTGGTGGTGTCGAGAGTGGTCTTTGGCTTTGAAGTGGTTTCGGGGACTGAAGTTGTAGTGTAAGGAGCAGCACTAGACTCCTGTGTGGTATAAGGAGCAGAGGTTGTGTCCTCCTTAGCAGTTGGAGTAGTTTCGGCGGCAGGTTCAGTGGTATCAGCTTCGGAAGTGGGATAAGTAGACCCATTCGTCAGGGATTCAGCAGAAGCAGAAGTCGTCTCGGCAGCAGGATATCCAGTAGTTGTCTCCTCAGCAGTAGCAGGCTTAGACTCGTCCTTGGTAGTGCTGGTGACTTGCACAGCGGTGGTAGAAAGAGAAGCCTTAGTCTCAGACTTGCTCACAACATCAGTGTATGCAGCAGAAGTTCCGTCTGCGGTCTGTTGAGTGGAAGAAACAGGATACTGAATAGCAGAGCTTGAAGGAGCATGAGGTCTGCAAGGGCCTGCTTGAGCTCCAATAGCAAAACCAGCCACAAGGGCGGTGATGAAAGTGCTGACTGAAGGCATTGTGTATGAAGAGAAGAGAAGAAATGTAATGAATACCTGGTATAAGAGAATAGAATGGAATGGAAGAATGAATGAGTGATAGTGAGTCTTGTTGCAGTAAAAGAGTGAACTGCAAGCTCTCTATATAGTAACAACAAAGGTAACTCACAAACAATGAATTACGCCAGAAACGAAGTGACCTCACCCTTTTAGAATACAGGCTCCTTTATAAGGGAACCGACCAACCCTCAAAATTCAATATCAGGGCCCATTTAGGGACCAATTTAGGTTGGTCGGTCCCTTGGCGAAAGAGATGATGTCCCCATTTGGAACCTCAACTACGAAAAGCACTTACATCAGGGCATGGCCAAAGAAGGAAGTGTGAGTGGGGGACGCAGGTCCCGAGCGCTAAGTAGTGAAGGGGAGTGACCAATTATTGGTTTGGAGGGGGGGGGGAGACGCCAATTAAGGGCGGTTCGTTTAGAGGAGGCATCGTAAGTTTTTGGCCGAGGTTTCCGGAAATAATGGTCCTTTTCGCATTGGCATCAACAAGGGTTCTTTAATTCCTTTTGCTTTAGGTAAGTTTACGGTCAAGATGGAGTTGAAGATGGAGTTGATGGCTCGGCAAGAAGCGATACACGTGATGTAGATCATCTGAAGATCGTAGATTCATACGATTTACCCGTGCAAGGCAATCAATCAATCAAATACTACGTAACGACAGGGTTGAACCAAGTTGAATGATACCTTACAAAAGGTAATAGCCATAAAATCCTTTGGCCTTTGTTAGATCGCAACGTGACAGCCGCACTAAGCCAACAGACCAGTTCTCAAAGCTTTGACTGACTCCTTGATGTTGGCTACCTGTCTTTGTAATGCCCTGAAAATAGGTCAATCTTTTCCCACCTGGGGAAAAAGGGAAGAAGAGTCGTAGAACTTCAGAATGATGTTCCGAAACCATCCAAAATTAAAATAGACCCCAAGTAAAGTTTGATCTATTTGGAATAGTGCACACGATTATCTCATAGAACATAATATAATTCTTAAAATGTTTCAGATAGGTAGGTTACCCGAATCCAATCCGCCCTGCACTTGCTTCTTGAGCTGGCGATTAAAATCCTACACGTACTCCATCCTCGTAACCTCCTCTTTATTGTCAATGGTTCCTATCTTTGCCCTTGCAACAGTCATCAATCATCAATGAATCTTTGTTCTCATCACATCTACTACTAACCTAAGGTACAGTACGGGGCACCTAAGACACAATGGGCCGTACTCAAAATCAAGACACTCAAAGCCAACAACAGTTACCTAAACTTGCCAACCTGTGTCCAGAGTTACTACGCCAAATATTTGGCTACTTCTGCTTACACTGCCGCGGAAAACAAGAATACCTGACCGATAACCCTGAACAACTTGCCCACTTACTGCGAAGATCGTCAGGTACTGGTGTCGCTGTGTCTCGTCTCGAGACGTTTTCGTGATATCAGTCGGGATATTCTTCATCATGTATTTCTTATTGGTCCTGAAAACCTTTAGTTCCTACAGAAACCTTTGGTACAGAAATCATTGCCCCTCTTCATAAGGACCATCGCTTCACAGCGACATCTTGCCTCATCTACCAAGGCTGTCATCTTCTATTGCGAACAAGTGGCTTCACCAATTGACTTTGACGACGCCCACGAATGCTTCACACAAATAGCAAGAGCGAGAGGATTGAAGCCTTCACATATCTGGGACCAAAGAAAGGATGCATCACCTTATCGAGAGGCATTTCTTTGAGGTCTCATCCTCGGCAAAGCTCAGTCTCCAAACGCGACAGAGAATATAGAATCGCATGCGAGCACTCTACCAGCTGAGCTGCTATTTATTCTTCTTGCCTTGTTGCCCAACTGTCCACACTTGGCTCTTAATATTTCAGCTCATCAGACATATGACCAAATGCAGGCATTGGAGGTCCTTGGGGTTTCCAGTCTCCCGGTGAGAAGCCTCGAGCTTCGTGGGGACTTTGATCTGAAATGGCTTTCAACGCAGCTTATACCCATTTCACCAGGTCTCGAAACTCTGACTCTATACACGTCACTGCCACTGCCTGAAATATCGAGTTTGAAGGCACTTGAGCTCAGAGGTTTTAGGTTGAGTCCCGATCAACTCGACAAGATCCTTCCCTCGTGTACCGGTAGTCTGAAGGCGTTCACATATGAAGCCACTCATGCTACTTCCTCGCACACTGATCAGCTTCATCGCTGGCAAGTTCAAGCAAGCCATATCGTCAGTCACCTCGAGAAGCACCGCGCAAGTCTCGAGTTGCTTCATCTTGATCTTCGTATCCGGGGCTTTATGAGTCGAGACACCAAGACAGACCCAATGCCCCACCTGGAGAACTTTGCAGCGTTACAAGAGCTGTTTCTCAACAGCAATTCAGTGCGCAGCACTCAGAATTTGGAGTTCCCTGACGAGAAGTCACTCACAAGTTTTCTTCCCCCAAACATCACGTCTCTCACTCTTGTGGAACCAGATTTCCCTCCACCCCCCGAACGTCTAAAGAAGGGGTTGTTGGGACTTGCGAATATTAGAAGAGAGCAGAGCCGATTTCCCAGGCTGAAACGAGTGGCATGCGACGCCAAGAACATATTCGAGGAAAGTCACACCAAAGATTTACTCTCACAAGTTGGTACTGGGCTTCAATACAAAGAGTTTCCAAAACCCGACTGGGCTTACGATCGGCTAAGTTCGGTCGATTCCCCGTTCATCAGTAGCATGAGAGATGATGATGAAGACTTACCTGCCGCTTGGTTTCGGGATGGTTGAGATACACATAGCAAAGCTCGGGACAAATCAAGAAGCAGTACTACAGGCCGAGGCTCTGTAGTAGCTGAAGTCTAAGATTTCAGATTTATAGAACTCTATCTTTAAGTTCTTAGCTCCCTAGCCTGTAGCCTACTTCCAGAATAGTTGGAGCCCAAGATCCTCGACAAGCGCTGAGGTCGGATCAGACCCTGCTTCAGCCCTCGGCTAATACATCTTGATGGAATTGTGAATCAAGAGTGCATGATTTTGATTGAATTTTATGGAAAAATCATATACGAAGATATGAAATTAACGGCATCTTCAAGCCCAGATTTTGTCTCCGTCGTCATAGGAGAATCTTGCTTTGATTGACACGGACCGGACCCCTGAACTACCCAGAATGTCTTTCTGAAACGTGCCTCTAAAATTAGGTACCGTCCCCACAACTTACGAGGAGACTATCCTCAGGGGTTAACTTCAGCCCTGAGCAAGTGGCTGGGGGTCCTAAATCCACTAACAACCAAGAGTTACCCAGTGAGAGGCCTCTGAAACGGCCACAAATGCCGATTGCGTCTCTGGTTGTGGCTGTGAAGTTCCTCTTAACAACCCGTAGCAATAGCAACAGAACTTCAGATTGGCGATGACAGGGGAAAATAAAACAAAATATTGATCAGGGGTAGAATGCGCAACTCAATCATGCTGAATCTCTTTAGAGTTCTTAACTGCCTTCATACATCAGCGAATTAATGCAACTTTGATAACGTAGTATCAACAGCTTTAAAGCAACACAAAGACGCTCGTGTTCAACGCTGCCCGTTCCATCGTTCCTTCTTCCTGGTTCATCTTGGTGGATTCGCTAAGCTCGGTTCGGTTGTTGATGATTGATGGAAGGCAGGAAAGAAAGACATGATCCACCTCCTGCCATTTCAACGATTGCTCGGGCTGTCATAAATTACCACTGGGTACTTTATTAGCAGACAAAGAAGCTAAATCTTTCCAACTTCTTTCTTTATGATAGATCATCACCACAAGTTACAAATCTTTTGATGTGATATTATGACGCCCAAAAGGAGTGATTCTACATCCAAAGTCCCCTGTTAATTAGCCCAAAACGTTCCCCCCCTCCAAGTCGCCAGTCAGACAGCGGATGCCAACCAAGCGCCAACGCCAGCCTCCTTCAAGCTAACAAACCATCATCTCGTCCCAATTCTCCCACACGGACGGACCCCAGTTCGCAAGCTTCCGATCCAGTCACCACGCACGCCCGATCTTTTCCCCCATTCAGCCTTGTCCTGCCCAGACAGTGTCAGCCCAAGGGGATAGAAAGTTTGACGAACCAAGATACAGAGTACTGTACAGCTGTCTCTACTTGCAACTCCGTACTCCGTAGGTGTCTTGTCGCTCCCGATTCGATCCCTGGAATTCGCACAACAATAAATCAACTGCTTTAATCTGCTCTACTCCCCCTGCATCGGCAGTAGCCGTCTCACCGAACTAGTCTACGCAAGACAGAGACACGCAGCAGATACGACGACAGATTATCAACCTGCACAACGCAAACGGCGACATCCTTCCGCCCAATCCCCCCTTATTTCACGACAATCGCGACGACTTCCTGCGTACGTCTGCGCCTACGTCACCCATCGCATCGCGATTCGATCTCCGACACTTCTTCCACCGCTATAGCGAGCTTTTGCTCTTACTTCCCCTCCGATAGACTCGAAAACAGGGACCTCATAATCACCGCATCAATAGAAGGGGCTGGACAAGGCAGACCATCATGCCGGGGTTTGCTGATTCCTTTTGGTCGAGCGATTATGCTGCGGGACTGGGCGTCCTGTTCAGCAAGCTCCAACAAGGTGTTCATGAGAACAGACAGGTTCTGACCATCGCACGCCTACGCGCCGAAGCTGAGGAGACCTACGGCCAGCGACTTGGCGATATTGCTCCATCTGCCGACAAGATCACTGGTGGCTTTAGTCGTGATGACGGAGCTACCGTTCGCAAGGTACGATACCATGCCTCTGAATCCTAAAATGCCCCAAGTCTGCGCCGCAGTCACTTGTGGGGATTTACTATGCGATAACGTCACTGTCCGGGTTGAGCTTACCAACTGACAAAATCTAGGCCTTCGATGGCATGCGAAATGAGATGCAAGATGCTGCTCGCAACCACCGTCGCATCGCTCAGAGCATCCGCGACCTCGTTGTCAACCCCTTCTCCCGCTGGTGCGACGCCCACGAAGCTCGCATCCAGGACTCTCAAGATGAGCTGCAAGTGCGAATCAAGGCTCACGATCGTCAAGCCGAGGCAGTCAAGAAGCTCCGATCCGTGTATTTCAACAAGTGCCGACTAGTAGAGGACCTTGAAGAGGAAAATAAGCTTGCTTTCCAGGATCCTGAAACCAGCCCCAAAGGCAATCAGAATATTCCCGAGATTAAGGTTCAGCCTCATAAGGAGGAGGAGCCCGAGGAGGAAGAGTTGTATGAAATTGGCGACGACACTTACCAGCCCGAGCAAGTGAAGAAGATTCTTTCCCAGATGCTTTCCACCATCAAGATGGGCGAGACTAAGGTGCCCATCCTGGGAACATACCTCAACACTTCCTCCGGCTCCGACATCGTCGAATATTTGCAGCGTAGCATGGGCAACATCGGCGTGGCTTATGCTGAGCGAATTGGTCAAGATCTTGTTAACAACGGTTTCCTTCGTCTTATCGGTAATGTGGGTAGTACATTTGCCAACAGCTCCAAGATGTTCTACCAATGGCGACCAAAGGCTTTCCAAATGGCCGGTGTTCCCGAAAAGAAGTCTATCAACCGCACTTTCTCACTAGCTTCTACGGGTTCGGAGGGCGCTGATTCTCCAGTTGGAACTGTCAGCGAGTATCTCGCCAACTGGAATGTTCTCAACAACTCTCACCCTAACGAGACCCCTAGCCAGCGTCTGAAACGAGAGGCATCCGAGGCCGATGAGAAGTACCGTGAGGGCGTTCGCAAACTTGATCAGCTTCGATGCGAGCTTGAGGAGGCTATCCACCTTCATCTCAAGTTCCTTGAGCGCTGCGAGCTTGACCGTCTAAAGGCTGTCAAGACTGTCATCCTCGACTTCTCGGGCACTATTGGAAACGTCATTCCAAGCCTGCAGTCTACTGTAGACCAGATGATGCTCTTCCAGGAGACCATCCAGCCCCAGAGCGATCTACGGTATCTTCTCGAGACCTATCGCACTGGAAGTTTCGTGCCCAAAGTGGTCGTGTATGAGAACTATTATAACAAGGTCGACGAGCAGACATTTGGTATTGATCTTGAGGCTCGTGCCAGGGCTGACAAGAAGCGAGTGCCCATGATTGTTACCACTATCTTGACCTACCTAGATCACCATTACCCTGACCTTGAAGGTGATGAGGCTCGGCGAGGTGTCTGGTTGCTGGAAGTTCCGCTATCACAGTCACACCGGCTACGTGCCAAGGTCAATGACGGCAAGCCTGTTTCTCCTGATGTGTTTGATGAATTTGATATCCCCACGGTTGCCAGCTTACTCAAGGTTTATCTTTTGGAGCTTCCCGGTAAGTTCAAAAGCTCGATAAAACCCATATATAACGTAAACTAACATCATCATAGATTCTCTGGTCTCCTCTCACGTTTATGAGATTATCCGAACCATTTACTCTACCCCATCTACTGACGCTGATGAGTCCTCTCGCATTGCTGCTCTCCAATCTACTCTCTCACAGCTCCGCCTCACCAATATTGCCACTCTCGATGCTTGCATGAACCACTTCACTCGCCTGATCGACTTGACTTCTGCCGATGAAGCTTATGTTGCATCTCTCGCCACCACCCTTGGACCCTGCATCTTGCGACCACGAACTGAGACCTCACTCACCATGGAAGAGAAGCATGCGTACCGACTGGTCCGAGATCTATTTGCCCACAAGGACGCCATATTCAGTGCCCTGAAGCGCATGTCTATGGTTACACACTCCACGTCTGTTGGCAGCAACAACCGTCCTAGAGCCATTAGTACCGACGAGAGCAACCGTAAGGCCCTTATGGAAGAGCGGAATAGAGCCCTGCTTGAAAAGGCCAACGCAAGCCGCGGCCGTGATAAGAGCCCTGCGCCAGGCCCTCGTGGTCACCGCCGAGACCGAAGCACTGGCGGACCAGAGACGCGATTCCCTATTGCCAGTCCAACATCGGCTGTCGATCGACACCGCACCAGTCTCGGCGGTGTTATCAAGAGACAGAGTCTTGAAGTTCCCGAGCCCGATGGTGCTGCCCCTGTAAATGGCGATGCTGAAAAGGATAAGTCTGATGCCGATTCGGAGAAGCGAGACAGCCGTGACAGCACAGGACGCACACCAACCAAGTTCGTTGGTGGCAAGCGAGTTCCTGTGGTACCATCGACCCCCCCTTCAGAATCCAACCGCGGCGTGCAACTTGAAGATGCTCCGATGGAGGACTAGTTTTACGACACGGAGCCAAGTTTTAGACAGCGGTTGGAGGCGGAGTTTCGGTTCTGAACCATGACAGATCCAAATAGAGCCACGCCTTCATCTTGATCTTGAACGGAGTTGGGATTTGGTTAACAGCGAAGCGGGACTGCAGGAATAGAGGGGAGCGGCTCGAGTCGACTCAGCCGTCTAATCTACCTTGTCATGTGTATGTGTTAATGGAACATGAGCAAAAAAGAACTATCGGTGTACTTTTTTTCTTGTCGTTTTTCTGGATCTGGACGTGGATCTGGATCTGGAACTGGAACTGGGTCCGGTCTATTTTTGTATTTGTGCTGTATCAATATCATGATATGGCAGCGATTCCCTATTCGTTAAGAGACTTGTTTCAGGACATTGATCCAGCTTGGGCTTGATGATACTCTTTGAGACGTTGTAAATATTGAGCGAAAAGCGGCCTAGCACATGACAGGCAGGACATGAGAAATGACTCGAAGATTTTTGATACTTATTATTATCTGTTTGATCCTCCTCCTTCTGACTGAGTGTCTCTGTTATGCTATCGAATGCTCATTCATTCCTAAACAACTTGTATCATCTACTCGTCTTGAATCTCAGCAACACGCTTCTTCTTCTTTTTCTTCTTAGCAACAGCCACTTCACCACCAGAAGCAGGAGACTCGACACCACGAGCACTGCTATCATCACCGCCTTCTTCCTCCAGGACCGCAGCACGCGGAGTTTTCTTCTTCTTTTTCTTGGGCTTGACTTCTTCGCCCTCTGCTCCTTCAGTACCAGCATCCTTCTTGGGCTTCTTCTTTTTCTTCTTGACAACTGTGCCCTCAACATCAACGCCCTGTGCAACATGAATGCGTTCATTCGCGCGTTGCATCTCGAGGCGAAGACGCTCGACTTCTTTCATGGCTTGCTGCATCTCAACGTCCTCACGCTGTTGCTGCTCATAGTCGAAACCAGTTGACGGTTGGCCTTCAAGACTGAAGGAGCCGATGCCGCTCGAGTCTACGCCAAGCAGGGTCTGCTTGGTCTTGGGCTTGCGAACCTTGGGCTTTGTGAAGCTGTCAGAGTTATTCTCCGAGTCATAAGATCGAAGACCGCCACTAGCGCTGCCTTCGAGGGTCTCATCTGCTGCAATAACGACTTTTTGTCGTGGCTTTGGCTGTGGTCTTGGGGGCTGTGCAGCAGGCGTTCCGGATCTTGATAGCTCCAGTTGCATGATAGGGATAGAGTCTATATCCAGGTCGGGTCCATTGCTGCTCTGGAGAATATTATGAATAGGAGTTGAAGTGCGAGGAGTGTCGTTGCTGGGAATATAAAAGGGATCATCTCTGTTGCGTTCGAGACGCTCGGCTTTTCTTCGAGCAACGATATCGGCATCCAGATATGTATCTTCGTCAGCTTGCTGATAAGAAGTTGAGTATTCCTCTGTAGGCTCAGCTATCCTGCTGATGGCTGGGGCAGATGAATCGATGCTTGTAGGTGGTGGCTTCTGGTGGTAGTATGTCTCAAACTCATCCGAGTCGTCTGTTGCTAATGTGATGGAGTCGGCTTCTGATAACAACTTGGCCAAGTTTGCATGAATGGGTTCATCCAAGTCAAGGCCTACAGGTACTGGGACGTTCAGTTGAGCACCCTTGGATACCGAGTTGAGTTCCCAGCCGTTGAAAAGCGAGGGGATAGCCTGAGTAAGAAGTAATGGAGGATCTTGCTCAACATCGTCTGTCGACGCCGGCTGAGATGAAGCAGCTTCAGCCGTGAGCTTCAGCAATTCTGTAAACTCAACGGCTCGTTCCTGAACCTCAAGACTAGGGTGTAATGCCAGAGGCTCAAAGACGTGGATAATGCGTGCCATAAGTAGCGATACCCTCGACTTTCTCTCTGCTGTCCAGGGCTCACTTTCATCTCCCACTATAGTCGCGAAAACTTTGGTGACGGCTTGTAAGGTTGTCGTTAAAACTTCAGGGTTGTTTGTTCGGGGAATAAGCTGTAAGAGGCCATTCAGACCCTCGTCTGGGACGGCTAATTGCGAAGCGTATTCGCCCATGATCCATGCAACTGACTTGAGTGCGCCTGAAGTAATTCTGTATCCTGGCGGTGTATCTGTGTTAAGCTGGCTGAGAATGATCTCTGCTGCCCTGACAGCCGTTGATCGCATCACCCGGACCTTGACAGCCACATTGCGGAGCTCGTCACCAATCTTTTCTGACACATTGGCCCTGGCCTTTTCAACAGGACCCAAATCATCATCGACCTTGCGAGAGGCGGGAGCCATACGAACAAGCTGCGTGAGGACATCAATGTACCAGTCAAAGTCCAAGACACTCGAGTAGTTATCCTTGGAGCACATTCCCAGAATCCTTCCAATGACGTCGATTCGATAGTCGTCCGGCAAAGGAGCGGATTCGGCCTTGGGCCTCGGGGCTGGCTCAGCAAACTCATCCTCGGATTCGTTGGGGTCATTTGGAGGAGTGCCAGGCAGCGATTTGTCCCGAGCCGGCATGGATAACTTGAGCTGCTTCATGAGGCGGCTCACGATAGACACGAGATTGTCGCCAGTCACCATGCCTTGGACCAGGTCAAGTGCTTGTATTCGGATAGTGATATCGGGGCTGTCGATACACTCCAGAATCACATCCTCTTGCTGAGATACTAAGTAAGGGTGTGTGGTAACGATCTTGTTGAACGCCAGTAAAGCAACATATTTGACTAAGTTCTGGTCAGTTTACCTCCATGATAAAGCAACAGCTTAGCACTTACGGTTAGGGTCGCCATCTATCATGACCATGCCTCGCAATTTGTTAACACATAGCGTTGCGATCTCGTCAGTACCAGAATCATCAGAGTTTCCTAAGATGCCGCCTTGAATGATTCCGTTGATGCACTCATAGAGCAATGACATAGCGGGAGTGGTCCTAATGATATTGGTCAGAGGAGGTAGCAGCTTTCTCACGAGTCGGGGCTCCAGTGGTGTTAACGTGGCGAACTGAACAGAGATTAGTATAACAGCACCAGAGTTTTAGTGCTGAATAGCTTACGAGTTTGATGAGTTTGATGGCCATCCAGTTATTACCACCATCAACCAAGAGCTCGAAGAGTCGAGGAGCTAAAGGAAGAAAGTCATTCGGTCTTCGCCAGCCAAGCTCGCAGACAACATTGACGATAGCTGCTGTTACACTGGGATCCTCATCAGGGTCCATCAGACGTTCCTTGATCTTGGGCCATGCCGCACGGAGAGCTTCGGGGTATACCAAAGCAAGTCGATACAGCGTCACCAATGTCTTCTTTCGAATGTTCGAATGGCTATGGCTTAATCGAGGTAGTAAGTCCTGCAGTGTCGAGAGCGCTAACGAGGGGGTGATGACATGGGGAAGAGTTGCTATAGGGAGAGATATAACCGTCGGAGTCGTTGAACCAAGATCCTGATCATGATGTTAGCTAGAAGCATCAAGAAGTACAATATGTGATCGACGGACCTTCTTCAGCAGATTAGTAGCCAGCATCAGAACCTCAGTATCGGGTCTAAAGCTCTGAACAGCTCCCAAATATCCAACTCGCTTCTGGTGGTACTTGGGCGACGACATGACCTCGAGGACATGGAACGACGCCCACGACATATCATGTCCGACCATTTCCAGATAAATGAGCTTCAGCAGTGCCGTCGCCTTAAGATCTAAACAGCTGAAGTCAGACCATCTATACAGCTAGCTTCTCCCAAGCATAACATCAAACTAACCCATATCCTGGCTGCGAACTTCGGCGCGGCACTCCTTGAGGCTCTTCTGGATATACTCCTTCTCATTGCCCTTGTGGTTCCGTAGCCCCCGGATGAGGTCGTAGAGCGACTTTTCAAACCTGCGCGCACACGGTCAATGTCTCTCCCAGAGGTCGATTCCATGTTGATATCCTGGCCTACATGGTGAGAAGCTGCCCCGCGGGCGTGGGGCCGACCGTTAGAGGAGATGCTTATTTAGGTAGTAGGACGTGGTCTCAGGGGCTTCGTGAAGATATGTTCGAGCGGCGCATCTCGTATAATATCGTGAGGAGGAGGATGTTTCGTTCAGCAGCGAAAGTAGATGTCGCGTGCTGGTGAGAGTGGATGGGATGGACGGTTGGTTGGTTGGTGTTGAGTATGGATGCACTAACTTAACAAGCACTGTACTGTACGTACAGCATGTGCGGCTTTACTTTACTGAGCATGACGGAATCATCCATCCACCGCCCTTGGCTCGGCGAGCAGGACGGCCCGAGCTGGGGAGTGTCTACAGCGGTTAAATCCCCTAACGTTACGAGTTTAGCGGATTACACTGCACCAAGCCAGAGGTGGGGGCGGGCGGAAAGCCTCCAACTTATTCTCGACTCAGTTTAGCAGAGCCTCAACACCATCATAGATTTTCGGTCACGGCTATTTATTCTCTCTCCTTAACGTCCATTGTTCGCTTCTAGACCATGAAACTCTCACGACGGTGACACTCGATTAATCTAACCCCAATAATCCTCTTAATATCCTCCAATGGCCCTCCGTTTCCTCCCCTCTCGAGCCGTTGTCGCCCGCTCATCGGTTTCCATATCCAACATCACCAACTTCACTCGTACCTCAACACCCCTGCACCGCTCATTCATCACCCTCCCATCGTCCGAACCTCAAAGATTATCGGCCAACCGCACTCTACCATATCCACACGAACCACTTTACGATCTCATAGCCGACGTGGATTCTTACTCATCGTTCGTCCCTTATTGCTCCCGCTCTCGAGTAACTCGCTGGTCCGACCCCGACCCCGATACCGGGCGACGCTACCCCGCACTCGCTGATCTACATGTTGGATGGGGAGGTTTCGACGAGGTCTTTACAAGTCGATTGCGCTGTGTTCCTGGCCAATCTGTTGAAGCCATCAGTGGGGAGACTACTCCTGGGGGTACAGGGCCCGACGCATCGGCTGTCTTCCGGAGCCTTGTGACACGCTGGTCGGTGAGACCAATTTCTGGGCCACCGTCACCGCGTACCGAGGTCAATCTATCTATCGACTTTCAGTTTACAAACCCACTCTATGGTGCTGTAAGTGCCGCCGTCTCAGATAAGGTCGCCAGTATGATGATAGAAGCCTTTGAGAAGAAGGCCTTCGAGAAGCTAGGGCCTCAACGGAAACTCTAATATTGCATACATACAGTGTTATTTGAGTATCCTCCTTCCGCCCCCTCATATACCCTGATAGAGTCTTAGAATAGTTTAGATTACTTGCATAGAGTCAAGTGGATATACCACAATTCACTGCAACGCATGGCACAATACAAGGGACCAAACCCAACTCACTCATGTCGATGAAACTTAAGCTTAACTTCAAAACAAATCATTCTTCTTCCTACTCCGTTCATTCTACATGACGCGTGTCTAGGACGGCCGTGTCTATCAAACGTGCTCGTCCGCCATATCCAAATCAAAACCAAACAGACAGATCAAAAATAGAGCGTCATCTTTGCGCCAATACCTGAACTTGCATCAATCGTCTTGGCTCTGTCTGTGCCAGAAGATGACCAAGTCCTCAACATTGGATCGTGTTCCCATTCCCTCCATATCATCGTTTCAACCATATCATCATACTCCGATCCACATGCATATAGGACAATTCGTGACGCCTCTGCGATATGAATACGCTAACCATGAGTTGGGAAAGGATCAAAATTCCGCTGCCTCGTTTTTCCATCTCAAACAATAATAGAAAACCCCAAAAGAAACTGCCAAGGAGATGTTTTCGAAATCAGGCCGGCAGCCGATGCCGGTGAGGTATCTGCAAATAAACAAAACTGTAAAATGAAACCAAGGTCAAACGTTCGTTTTCTCATGCTGACTGACATATCAGTATGGCACCTCATTTCTTGCTAGGCCTGGATGATTGTTAGCTTATTGTCTAAGTAATTGGGAGGACTCAGGAACTCACTTCTTCTTCTGAGGTTTGCCAAACAAAAAGCCAGCCATTCCTGAGTGGTCCTTGGATGGCTTCTTGTGCTTGGTGGACTTGCCAGGAGCAGGGCCGACAGTCACAACGTTGGGCGGCATTGGCATATCAGGTCGAACACCTCCTCCGACAGGCCATCCTGGGGGCGGTCGAACTCCTCCGGGGGGCATACCGCCAGGAGGATGCATGGCAGGTCGCATACCTGGGCCCATGGGACGGGGTGGAACAGGAATAGGACCGCCGTGCTTGTGCCCATGCATGCCGGGCGCGCCAGGCATCTTGGGGTGTCCCAGTGGAGGCATCTTGTCCATCGGCCACATGGTCATGGTAATAGCCCAATCAGGCTGAACCACCTTCTCCCAAACAGATGGCAGAATGATCTCCCCGTCGGGGCCGATAAGATCATAGTGACCTTCCATTACATGAGGTCCCAAAACATCAACTTGCATGAAAGCTTGCTTGATGAGATCTTCCATACCCTGCGATATCGTCAGCGGTTGTTCGTCGCCCGTCATAATCTGAAGTACATACCTGCCAAGTGGCACACAAGTGAAAGGGGAAGCTGAACTTTCGACCAACCGCATCCTTGAATCGGATTGGGGCCTGCTCAGCCTTCTTCTTAGACTCTTCAAGCTTGACCTTTGTCTCCTCTTCAATTTTCTGCTTAAGTTCTGCGGCGGCTTTCTTAGCGGCTTCCTCAGCTGCGGCAGCTTCTGCTGCCTTCTTATTTTCCTCCTCAATTTTCTTGAGAGTCTCAGCCTCAGCCTTCGCGCGAGTTTCTTCTTCGAGCTTCTTGAGTTTCTCGGCTTCCTCGGCCGCTTTCTTTGCGGCAGCTTCCTTAGCCTCTTGCTCAACTCTCATGAGGCGCTCGGCTTCCTCCTGGGCCTTCTTCGCGGCAGCAGCCTTTGCTTCAGCCTCCTCTTGTAGTGCTTTCTCAAACCGAACTCGAGCAAGCTCTTCAGCACGCTTTCGCTCTTCCTCCTCTTTCAGCCTCTTGTCCTCGGCGGCCCTTAGTTCAGCCTCAAATTTCAGTCGAGCTTCTCTTTCGGCTCTGACTCGCTCCTCAGCTTCCCTCTTACCACGCTCCTCCGCTGCCCTCAATTCAGCCTCGAGCTTCAGACGAGCTTCTTCTTCAGCCTTAGCCTTGGCCTCGGCCTCTGCTTTGCGCTGTTCGGCAGCTGCCTTCATCTCGGCCTCATACTTTTCTCGGGCCTCCCTTTCTGCTTGTGCACGCGCTGCAGCCTCGGCCTTTCGTTGTTCTTCAGCTGCCTTGGCTGCAGCTTCGAACTTCTTTCTGGCTTCTTCTTCAGCTTGGATGCGAGCCTCGGCCTCGGCCTTTCTTCGGTCCTCAGCGGCCTTCATCTCAGCTTCAAATCTGAGACGAGCTTTCTCCTCGGCTTCCGCCATGGCGCGAGCGTGTTCCTGGGCGCGTTTCTCTTCGGCCTTTCGTTCGGCTTCCATTCTCTCTCGGGCAGCCTTTTCTGCTTCAAGCCTGGCCCTTTCAATCTCTTTCTTGGCTTCTTCTTGGGCCAGTCTCATATCCTCCATTCTTCGATGGAAGGCTTCCTCGGCTTCTTTTCGGATTTGCGCCTCAGCTTCTTTTTGCTTCTCGGCAGCCTTGACCTTCTCCTCCATAGCTTTAAACGCAGCAATCTCGGCTTCTAATCGAATCTTTTCCGGATCTTCTTTAGGAGGAGCAGGTGTGGCTGGCTTAGCAGGAGCCTCAGTAGGCGGAGGAGGTGGTGGTGTAGTGAGTTGCCCAGGTGGTATTCCAGCCATATGGGGTGGCCCGTAGAGAGGATGAGGTTGTACAGCGCCATAGTAACCACTTGGAGGTTGTTGATAAGGCATCATGTCATACATGCCTCTTCCTTCGCCTCCATAGCCAGCACCGTAAGGGCTGGCAGGGTCACCGTAGCCAAAAGGCACCATCTGGCTATTAGCAGGGTATCCCATATAGGGTCCCATTTGATTTTGATATCCTGGCTGCTGGCCTCTGCCATACATTTGACCGGGTCCAGGGCGCCCGCCGGCCTGGGGATGCCCATATGCGCCACGGCCATAGGCGCCATACCCACGAGGATCTTCCAGATTGGCGGTGGGCGGCGCTGCACGATCGCGCCGCGGTCGACGATAAGACTGTCTGGGTTCCTCTTCAGGTTGGTAAAGATCCTGGGGAGGACCTTGTTGACGGGCTTGCAATTGATGGGGTGGCGGTTGACGAGTAGGTAATTGCTGGTGATGAGCAAGCTGCCCGTGATGTGGAGGGAATTGAGGTTGAGGCGGAAGCTGATGAAGAGGGAGCTGATGCTGACGCTGAGAGAGGTGATGACGATAATGCTGGTCGTGGTCGCTAGTTGAGGCAGAGTCAGACGGGCCAAGACCGTCGTCGTCGTCGTCGTATTCGTCGTCGTAAAGGTCCTCTTCAGAATCGGTGTAGTCCTGGCCGGTCTCCTGCGAAGAATCGTCGCTGTAAGATGCTGTCCCAGAAGCGGACGTCTCAGTAGGACGAGTGCCGGAGGTAGGGGCTCTGGAAGAAGGGCGTTGTTTGAGCCTGGCAAGATGAGAGTGTGAGCTGTATGGTCAAGAGTAATGCGCAATAGATGAAGCGCAAGTGTAGGAGAGACAAGTAAACAAAGCTAGAGGGGGCGCAGTTGAGACAACTAGTAAGGTGGATATGAGAAAGACAAGAGGGGAGGGAGGGGAGGAACGCAAGCGCTGAAAGATATGGGTAGGATGGTAATGGAGGGAGGGGACTCACATAGCAGATACTTGGTGGGATGCCCTCTACCCACGACAATCCACAGGAGAAAGCCGGAGTAAAGGCACTGAATGTAGGTTGGAAAGGAAGAAAGAAGGCAACAAGCACAAGTAGATGCTCAGCTGACAGGGTAGAAACAATGCCTAGCAACCCCCAAAGTAACCGAGCGAACGATGGGGGAAACGGAGGACGAGGTCGTAGCCGCAGTAGAAGAGAGAAGAAAAAAAACACAACGGCAAGTGTTTGGTACGAGGGTCGTGGCGAGGAAGAATTGGACTTGCGCGACAGGGCGTAGAGTGAGGGGTCGTAAAATTAAGTGAGTACGCCACCAAAAGATGAGGGCGTGACAGCGGAAGGGAAAGGTCGGCTGGTCACGAAAGCAGTGAGACGGGGAAAATGCCTGCTTGTGAAGCTGGTGCGGAGTCGCAGAACAAGAAATGAACGATGGTGCCTTGTGGTTGCTGACCGAGGAGGGTACCAAAGTTGTATCTAGCAGAGTGCTTGCTTGCTGTACGGCGCACGTTAAGATCAGGCGCAAAAGAGTGTGGG